TCTTTTTCTTTCAATTTCTTTCTATCTATTTATTTAATGTGTCTATCTTTGAGACTGTGTTCTTTTTCTCTTTTCTTTTGTCATGATATTGTCAAATGGTTTCAAAGTATCAAAAGATGTTAAAACACTGCAATTTGTAAACAGTTTTTGTATTCTGGGCTGGAATTTTCTGATTTTGCATATCTGAAATTGATGAATGTATAATAGTTAACTTTACAGACATAGAAAAAACCCTGAGAACTAAAGTTCTCAGGTAGATGTCATAGTCTCTGACTGCATACATCTATAATTGAAGAATAATAATAATAATAATAATAATAATAATAAACAAGATTCTTTTATCTTTCTCTTTATGAAAGACCAGGACACTGTTTTTTGAATAGATCTGCTTAATTCTGAACCCTTTTTTGCAGCTGAATCAGCCAATTCATTGCCATGAATATTCATATAAGCAGGAACCCAATGCAGATGAATTATCAGTTTTGATATTCTTCTCTTTTGAATTTTCAAAACAGAGTTTAAAATCAGTTCAAGATTCATTTGACCATTATGAATCTGACTATTTCTAAGTCTTTTTAAAGCAGCTTGACTATCAGAAAATATTCATACCTCTTTCAAATCATTTCCTCTTTTATGAGATTTTATTTCAATGAGTTTGAAAGCTTTCACTATTGCAAATAGTTCAGCATCAAAGACTTCAGATTCACAGCCTAAATTCCAGAAATCTGAGATAAAATTAATATTATCTTCAGTATAAGCAATGCCTGCGTCTAATCTATTCAAATTCTCATTTTTTGAGCCATCTGAGTAGATCAGAATAGAGTCTTTTATATTAATTATAGAGATCTTCTTCAAATACTGTTCATATTCTCTCTCTTTAGATAGTTCACTTATTTGTAAGTCTATGAGAGATTCCAGCTTTTCTCTCCAGAGAGATATCTTCTCATGATCAATTTTCTCAACATTTAATGAAGAAAATTGATTCTTAATAAGTGAACATAGTCTATACAGTTGAGAGGGCATTTTCTTTAAAGTATTATTCTCATTCCAATCAAGAAATCTATTTCAATCCAGTTCATTTCCTGAGTTAACTAATGAAAATGAAGAAGAGACTCTTTCTCTGATTATATGATTTGAGCTCATCTTCATGACTCTCAGAGCATAGTTCATACAGGCCTTTTCAAATCGAATAGCAGGAGGTGGAATTGAAGCTTCAATTTCCATTGCTTTAATAGGAGATGACTTGAATACACTCAGAATTCTTCTCAAAGCTCTGTTTTGTAGACTTTGAAAGAGTTCAGTGAAGTTTCCTTGATTGTTCCATCAAACTTGAACTTCATAATCAGCTACTGAGATAATACAGGCTATGTATAACTGTCTCATAGCCTGAAAGGATAGACCTCTCTCAGTATTTGATAGTCTGATTATACTATTCAGTAGTCTCTCTGCCTTGATGATTCTTTGTTGAATATGATATTTAAAATTCAGCTTGGAGTTTAATCATACTCCTAGCCATTTGACATTTAAACCGGGTTTAATCTCTTTATTCAAAAGAGTTAGACTTAGTTCTTTCTCATTAAACCTGGGAAAAAAGTGAATTAACTCAGTTTTATTCATATCAAATTGAAATAGATTGATATCTGCTCTAACAAAGATTTCCTTTGCTGCTTTCTCAATCACTTCTAAGTTCTCTTTGATTGTCTTTGAACTGTAGAGTAGACCAATATCATCTACATAACTTGGAGATCTCACTATTTTCATCTCTCTATTCTTGAATAGATATGCAGTGTATATTGCAAATAAAACAGGTGAGATTGGAGATCCTTGTGATACTTCTATTTTTATCTCAGTTTTATCTTGTTTTCTTCCATCAAAGAATAGTTGTATAATTCTTTTAGACATGAAACAATTGACCCATTTTATTAGAGAAAGTGGCAGTTTTAACATCTTCAAAGTTTGAATCATCTTAGACTTTGACACATGATCAAATGCACCTTTTATATCAATAAAAACTGCAGTTGAGACCAGGCCTTCATGCTTTGCTACTTGAACATCATGAACAACTGAGAGAACAGTATCAATTGCAGAACATTGTTTTCTACCTCCCATTTGTTCATTAAATAGAAGAGAATCACTAATAGAGCTTATAAAAGATAATCTAGTAGCTATTATCTTTTCTAGAATTTTTCCCAAACTGTTCAACAGAGATATTACTCTATATGACTTAGGAATTGAAGCCTTTCTATTAGGTTTTGCAAGGATTACTCCAGTAGCTTCTCTCCAGCATTCAGAATGATAACCATTTTTTAAGAGATTGAAAAAGAGCTCAAAATATTCATTCTTCAAGTAGGAATATGTGTTTTGAATAATTGAGTGATTAATTGAATCAGGCCCTGCAGCAGTTTTAATTGAACTTGAGAATATTGCTGACTCTAGTTCATCATATGTAAGCTCAGGCCATTCCCAGTTATTTTCATCAATATATTCATGAAATGACATATTCTCCTCTTCTAAATGTGATGATGAGTTTTGAAAGAGAATTCTCATAAAAGCTTGACATTTTTCCTCAAAAGAATTTGCTGTATATAATTCATTCTGAAATTCATATTCTAAGGTTGGAAGCTTTGCTACACTTCTTGTTTTAGTATAGTTGAAGGCTTTGAAAAGTCTTTGTCTCTTATAGTAGAGTGATATGTCAGAAGTTATTAAGAATTCATTATAATGATTTTCATGCAGGGCACTTCAGATTAGAGAAGACTGAGAAGCTTCTAAAATGTAAATACACTTGAGACAAGCTCTGAGCAGATGTCAAAGAGTATATTAAAACTTGTAATATCTGTCAAAGAATAAAGATTCTGCAGTATAAGTAATACAGTGAGTTAATATCACTGTCTATTTCAAAGAACTCATGATAGAATTTATTAATGAATTTTATAGTTGATCTGCTGAAGTTAACAAGAGTCAAAGAATATAACTCAATTTTGATCATTGTTAATTACTTTATGAAGATGATTAGATATATTTCTACTTATAAAAAGATTAAAGTCTCTGAATTGACTGACCTGTTTTTAGATACTATCATTTGTGATCACAGTGCTCTGAAATTATTGATAACAGATCAAGAATTCCTCTTCATCAGTAAATACTGATCAGCTTTTTACTATTATCTTATGATAAGATGTCTTCTCAGTACTGTATTTCATCTGCAGACAGATAGTCAGACTGAATATCAGAATCAGACATTAGAACAGCATCTTTAAGCATTCTGTTTATATTATTAAAATGATTAGCTCAAACATCTTCTGACTGCGGAATTCATATATAATAATACAAAGAATGTAATCTTAAAGATATCTTCTTTCTATGCTTGTTATGAATATAATTCTTTGTTACTCAGTGATGTCACAGATGACATTTCAAAGAAAGAGATAAACAGTCAGAATGTTAGACAGATACAGAGAATGAAGTATCTCTCAGTGTCAGAAGTAAAAGCAAGATTGAAACTTTTGAATAAAATTCATAAGAAGACAGTGAAAAGCATCTACTGTGCTCAGAAGTGATAGATAAAATACTATAATTAAAAACATCTTCTGATGAAGTTCTCAATAGAGAATTAAGTACTACTTTCAGTAAAGAATATCAAGACAATGAGATTATATAAGAAGCTCAGTGAGTGATAACTAGAATCTTTCTCAGTAATAAGAGTAATGAGTATGCAGATATATGAGTTGAAATTACTCACAGAATTGAAATCAATTCATTCTGTTTTTCATATTTTCTATTTGAAGTTCTATAAGCAACACTTCAGAGCAGAGCTATCTTGACTGAATAGTATTAAGATTGAGAGTGATACTGAATATCTTGTGAAGAAAATATTGAATAAGTGAATATATTACAGCAAGCTTCAATATCTTATTAAATAAGAAAATTATTCATTGTCAGAGAATTTGTGAGAATCACTTAAGTATTTAAAGAATGCTGAGAAAGAGATTGTAAGTTATAAGACAGTTAGTAGAGATCACTCTGTTATATATCAGAGACATTGAGTAAGAAATACTGCTTAAGACTTCTTATTTTTCTTAAAGAGTTTTTTAGAGATAATCTTACAGTAATAAGCTGATATCTTGTAGACTCTGTAACACTCTTCTTCTATTTTCTCTTAAAGGATTTTTTAGAAGTTTAATAAGACTATACAAGTATAAAAATTCTGAAGCAGTTAGAGAAAAGAGATATTGAAAACTAATAAAAAGATTAATATTATTAATCTACAGACTACTGCTATTCTAATAGAGCTGCAGCCTGCTGAAAAAGTAAAAAGAAAGAATCTCAGAGTCTACTTATTAATAATTACATTCTTATTAAACTCATTCTTCACTGTTGAAGTCTTCAGTACTGATATCTTTATCTGCTGAGAAGTTAGCACTGTGACACTGCAGAAGAGTATAAGAAATGTATAAAATATCAACTTATTAACTTATAAAGTATCTCAGTTATCTGCTTCAGTTAAAATAAGATTCTCTTCAATCAGTGATTAATCTCTGCAGTACTTTCAATGATGATATCAGCTGATTTCTTCTTAAGATCAGCTATTCTGAGATGTTTTTTCATCTCAGAGATTCATACTTTCATCTTCTTTTACAGATGAGTAAGAGAGATCTTCTCAGTCTTGATAGAATCTGTCAATACTTAAAGCTCTGAGACTCTCACTCTGTACTGCTTAAGTATCTAGACTTCTTATCAGAGCTGATATAATGTCTTTCTGTGAGATAATACTTACAGAGAGATAGAAGTTATTATTACAGATATAATAGAAATAATGAGAGTAAGAGAAGAAGTGAATATATAAAATCTCTTCTTTCTTCAGCTGCTTAGCATAGTACAGATAAGTGACAGTGCTGAGCAGAGACTGCATCAGAGCCTTCTCACAGAGAGAAGATAAAGAAATCACAGAACTCTGCAGACTCAACTCAGCAGTATTCTGAGCAGGGCTCAGACATATCATGAGAGAGAAACTACAGATTAGACTTCTCAGAGTCACTGTTCTCAGAATTAAGCTCTTTCTGAGATTCTCTCTGAATGATCACATGAGATCATACATCACTGTGTTGATTGAAAGAGGGGGTGATGTCACAACAGTGGTGAGAGAGGCAGAGGAAGAACCAGACACAGATGAACCAGCTGGCAGAAGAGACAACACCTCACTGCAAGGCACAGCTGCTACCACCACAGCTGTCAGAGATGTCAGAGAGAAAGAAGGTGTAGCAATGAGAGCAGTGCTCTCACAGCTCATTGACACTGCTGTCTCTGCCTTCAATCAGACTTTCTTGACAGTCACAGAGGCCGCAGCTGCATCATGAAGATGTTTATTTACTAGAAAATGTCAGAATAAGTTCTTTATTATTCTTCAAGAATGATACTCTCATGCACTCACTGTTACAATTGAGAAAGAGGAAAGAAAAATATTTCATAAAGAGAGAGAATCTTTTTGAAAAAATCCTGTCACTACTGTTAACTTTGTCTCTAAAATACATCACTTTTGTAGAGAATTCTATATATAGAATGAAATATGATGAAAGATCTGTAAGTTACTTATTAACTACATTTTTCACATTTTAAATTGATATATAAGGAACTCACTTATCACATATTTGATTTGAATGAAGATGAAAAAGAAAGATCTACACAGTTAGTAGAAAAACTCATCTATTTCTTTATATCACACACAGTATATGTACTGTGAAATCAGTTGATAACTATTACTATATAATAAAGATAATTTCTAATTTAGTAATTTTAAGAGTATAGAGACTATACTCTTAAAGAAAAGAGCATTGTCACACTCTCAGCTGTATCAAGACTCTGCTGCAATTTCACACAGCTCATTGCTTTCATGCAGATAATTCCATTCATTCTGTAGATTATTTGAACCAGTTTTCAACTGCTCTATGACATTATTCAGATATATTATAGAAAGATCTGATTAATGAATATGAGAATCCTGCTTCTATACAAGATCAGCAGATTACTTTTTCTTAGTAGTGAGACACTGCTGAGATATCACTTCAGCTATTCTTGCTTATGAAATAAGAGAAGATATCTGCTCATTGTCTATATAGAATAGCTAGATGCTGGCTTCTCATAAAAGAAGTCAGTGATTTGTTTTACTTCTACTGAAATATACACAAGAGTTACTGCATGTCTCATACAATCTTCTTAGTATACTAAGTATCATATCTGTGATATTCTCACAATAATCCTGTAGCCTACGAGCTCGCTATTCAAGCAAGATAGTCAAGCTCACTTATATGACTTCTCAAACAACTACCTCTATGTGACGCCGCCAACTAGCCACCGCTTCGGTTCCGCCACGTTACAAATACTCTGATAAGATGAATAAGTTCACTTAAGAATTATCTGAGTAGATAAGATATCTGCAGAAGCTGAGACATAACTTTTATACTGTAAATTCTGATAAGTCAGAATCATGTGATCTTTGCTAAGAATCTGATTATAATAAAGATATTAACACTGTCATTTATAAATTCTAGTCTATAAGATGATGAGTTTCTACTGAAATGAACAGTTTACAGTGTATATAAAGAAAAGAAGAAATCATACTCTCATTAAAGCTAAAAAACAAAGAAAATAAAAACAGAATCATAAACATAATTTAGAGACTAATAAAGAAAAAACAAAGAAAAAACAAAGAAAATTCCTACTTATATTCTCAACATCTGTAACACTCAATCTTCTCACAACTATTAATTTCTCTCTTCAAAGAAGCAGAGAGTATCATGTCTGTAATACAGACAATTGTTATATTTAATAGAAAGATTATCAGAAATGCACAGACTTCAGAAAAGCTGAACATCAGAGTATATACAGTTGCAGCAGAGTCTTGAAAACTGATTATCTGTGTGTGTGATCAGATATCTGTTATAAAGCTGTGTCTACTCCCTCAGTTGTGCTGAAGTATTCAGCTCAGAAACAATTGAAATGTGAAGAGAGAGCTTATCTATACAGGTTAACTTCTGTCATGAATTCATGACATTTGTATTACCTTAATTATCTGAATTTTGCAGATACTCAGAGACTTATCTCTTATCAACTATGAGACTGTGAAAATGTGCTGCAGCATGAGAACTGTTAATAGAAAACCTAGACATATTTGCATATGTCTGATCAGAGATTGTGTGAGTAGAAGAGAGATGATCATAGATCTGTAAAGCTGCAGAAGACACTGATAACACTGAGAGCTTTATAAGAACTGTTAGCTAGAATCTGTAAGAAATTACTTATAGAAAGACTTACAGTAAAGAGTGAAACTGTGCTACTTAAAGTCAGAAACTGGTCTGAGAAAGACATGAGATTAGCTGCTGGCCTGAAGATTGAATGCAGTGATAAGACTGAGAGAGATGAAGACACTATTATAAGCAGTAACATCTCTGCTTTATCAGCTGATAAAAAGTGATCAGAGAAGTTATGAGAACACTTATAAGAAGCTCAGTAATGATCAGACATCATTTATAAAGATATTGAAATTGAAAAATTTTTATTCTTGAGAAGTTCTTGAATCAATATATAAATATTGTCAGAAAAACTCTCTCTCTGTTATCTGAGTGAAAATACTTCATAGATGAATAAAAATACTCACAGTTTATAAGAATGAAAGCTGTTATAGAAAAAGAAAAAAGAAGATAAAGTTCTATAGACAGATCTGAGATATTTATACTACTTTAAAGAAATTTACTCACACTGTGAGTAATTCTATAGAACAGTCAGATCACTCTAGTAAATAAAGAGTGATTATAAATTACAGATCTGAATCTTTCTATATGACTATAAAAAGTAATTGTAGACTGTGAATATCTTGATTCTACAATTCTACAGAGTTAATGAAAGAATGAAAAATTCCTCACAATTCTACAGTGTTAAAGAACAATGATTTATAAGAATAAGTGAAAGATTAACTTATGAATACTTCTCTTTAATGAGAATAATCTCACAGAGAGTGATTCATCTGTGAGATGAATCTGTGTAATAATCATACAAGAATCTTGTAAAAATAATTGAGAGTTCACTAAAACTCTTCTATATAAAAGATGTGAGATGAATCTGTGTGATAGTTAGAGAAGAATCTATAAACTATAAAGAATTTTATAAAATAAGAAACTAAGTAACAGACTCTTTTCTCTTTATAATAATATGAGATTTTTTCTCACTAAGGTTTTTTTTTATAGATGTAAAGAGTTTTTAGTGAGTATCACTGCAGTGCTGAGCTGATTCTATGAAGTCACTCAGTGAAAGGCTTCACAGATGAAGTCTTAGAGAGAAAGAGATATGTAAGAAATCTCACTTCTTATAGATTCTTTATCTCTATTTCTATCTCTCATATAATTAATAAAATTAGTGACTCTTGACTACATACAACTATATAGACTGAAGTTCATGAATACTATTTATAACTCAGCTTAAATGCTATTGCACATTTGATCTCTACATTTTATCTTTCTTACTGCGAATACTTCTAGTAGTTAATAGTACATATCACACTAAGCTGCAAATACCTGAATAATTGCCTGTGAGCACTTATTCTTACAATAATTATGAGAAGTTTCTTATCATAGATCTCATAATTGCATTCAGCAGGACTCAGTTTCTTAAACATGAAGACACATGATTATAGAACACTTTCATCATTATATTATAATATTGCTTCTTCTGTCATATAGTCAGAGAAATCAGCTTTAATAACTATTTCATGATCAGAATTAAATGTTATCAGTAGAGAGATATTAATGAACATCTTCTTTATCTATGTAAATGCAGTGTCAGTATTCACTGATTATTGAAATACTGAGTCTTTCTTAGTAAGTTCTGTAAGTGATCTCATGATATCTGAGAAGTTTTGTATAAATTATCAATAGAAGTTAGCAAGTTTCATGAAGCTTTATACATCTTTCATAGTGTGCAGAGTCTTTCATTCAAGAATAGCAGAGACCTTCTCAGAATTCATTCAGATTCTCTTGCCAGCTTCTATGATGAAATCTAAGTATTTAGTACTCTTGACTTTGAAATCACACTTGTCAATATCAATTAATAGTTCTGCTTCTTGTAGTTATTATAATATCTTTTGCATATACTCCTGATATTTCTTTCTGAATTCATCAGTGAAGATGAGAATGTCATCTAGATAAGCAGATGCAAATTCATCAAGAAAGTCTCAGAGTGTTCAGTTGATATACTTCTGAAATGTACTGAGAATATTAATCAGTTCAAAGAGTGTGACTACTTATTCAAAGAGATCATATCATGTTCAGAATACTGTAAACTACTCATCTTCTTTACTAATGTGAATCTTATGAAACATGATGATGACATCTAACTTTGTAAATTATTGAGCTTGTTCAATACAAGCTAGAGTTTCATTGATAAGAGATTAAGAATAACAGTCTTTCTTTGTTAATCTGTTCAATTCTTGATAATTCACACAGAATCAGAGTTCTTCATCTGGTTTCTTTACAAAGAGAATAGCGGCTGCAGCAGAAGAGTTACTAATATATATGAATTCTTTATTCAACAGATTATTGAGTGTCTTTTAAAGAAGAAAGAGTTCATCTCAGAATATGTTATAAAGAGAGTCTCATGACAGTTCAGAGTTCTTATCATTCTTTTTCTCTAACTTGATACTGTGATTCACTTCAGAATCTTGTAAGAGAGGTATGTTTGTAATATTGTCTTATCAGAAGACATCTAGATATTCATGATATTATTGAGAGACTTTTGTACAAGAATCTGTTGTTGTAACACAGAATAACTTTTCTAGAGTCTTTTTAATATTGATCAGACTAGTGGAATAGATTGCTACATAGTTCTGCTGTCAGTGACTTCTTTTTCAGAGCATTTTATATGTGTTACCAGAGATCTGTGTCAGATTCATGATCTTGTGAATGTCATCTTTATGAATTCTATCATTATTAGAGAATATCAAGCTTCTGTTTTAAGTGTTCAATAAGATGCCTTGTTCAGATAGTCAGACAAGTTCTAACATAAGATTATAATCAAGATTATCAACTTCATATGTGTAGACATCTTCATGTTGATGTTCTCTCACATCTATGATCAACTACACTATGTAACAGGTATAAATATCTTTTGAATCATCAAATTTTATGAGAAGTTGAGGTTTTGATAAGAGAATATGCTGAAGATTATAATATCTTATGACTGAAGATTTTATCATTGCATAGTGACATAGACCACTGTCTACCATGACTTTCATATTATATATGTTATCAATCACAGTAGATACAAGAATTGCATTTATTATTATTTTCTCTTCAAATTGTTATCATCT